GAGATAGTCTTTAATTACTTTCCTATATGCATTTCTCTTATTCATAATATTGTTTGTTTTGTTAATTTCAATCGACTCTATGATCTTTCCCTTAGCTGTGAAGTCTCAATATCTGGCAAAACGTTGGGACTTAGACCACTCTATCTGGTGTCCTGTACCGACGACATGTTCAGCCACTTCCTATTTCTGAATCTATAAGCCTTTGTAGGAGGTTCAGTGTTTTGATAGACTCTTATGTATGGGTCTCCCCCATGTTTTGTATTCTTGATAGACCTAATTTGCCAAACAGAACTAAGAGGGATCTTATAAAAGTATCTCATGAATTGGTTAAGGAAGCACTTCTTCAAGACTTACTAATTTGCATAATTTGATCAAAAAAAAAAGCTTTGTATGATACTCTTAACTCTGTGGATTTCCTGAAGCTTCAATCAGTGGCTGACAAATTATATGATGTAGTATTTTGTCAGGTAAGGAAGAGTAATGATAGGAAATTTAAGAACCTGAGAATTAGAATTAGATCTGTACAAAGCAATCGGAATTCAACCAGAGGTCAAAAGAAAAGAAAGTTAGGTCGAAAAGTGGCTAACCTGTCCAGAACAACATTGGATAGTATTACTGAGGAAGTTCTATCTAAAGATCTTAATTATGCTTTACCAAATAGTAAGAGCTTTACTGATGAGATTTTAGTAAAGGTTATTAACTTAATTTATCGATCAGCAGAAGAAACTATAAGTAAGGTTGAAATACACGCTGTTCCCCTAATTGATAACCATGTAGAGCCACCAAATACGAATAGATGTGCTAATAAAGAAGCTCAGACAATGTAAGCAAATAGTTTTGACGGCAGACAAAGGAGGAGCAATGGTCATAATCTATAGGACCGATTATATAGCTGATGTTGATACGTATAGAATTATAACTAAGGGCCCTACAAAATCAATAAAGTCAAGACTTGAGAGTTACCTCCAAAAATACATTTATAGTGGAGAATTGGAGAAGTGGAAAATGAATGCACTTCCCCAACCTGACACTAGACCTAATGCATATGGTCTGCCCAAAATCCACAGAGGGGGTCGCACTTAGGACGACTGTAAATAATAAGGTTGGTGTCATAGAGTGTTTACGCGCCACAACACTAATATCTAGAATGCTGCTAATTTGGGAGAAAAATTCAGCCAAATTCTTAAGGAGTAGAAGACCTGAAATACTTTCCAAAGGGTGCATTTAACTCGGGACTAGTGCATGTGGAATCCAGACAGTTTTAGTTTTCGAAACACATCTAAAGATCAGAAGAGAAGAAACGCAGATGCCTATTCATAATAGCAGCTCTCATTCCTTTAACAAAAGCCAGTCCTATTATCAAGCAACAGCCTAGTTGATTGATATGTTTCTAAATCTGCCTAAACACCCGTTTGCATAAGTAAAGATGGGAAGACCAAGATAGCGTGGCCTTTGGTATGGCCGTAGCCTCCTTTCGATTTAAACAAGTGGGTTGACCTCGTTTTCGAAACTTGGTCGTGTTGTTAGGGGGACTTAGCTGGGTGCATCTTGTCCGAAGTCCTCTGTTATAGTAGCTAGCATAATTCCCAGGATCGGACCGTAGACTTGGTACATTCCCAGACGTTTTTGCCGGCATCATGGTGGGACCAAGTCCATTGTCCGACGCTGAGAAGTATGCTAGCTACTATAGCAGATGACTTCGGACAGAATGCATCCAACTGTCGCCCTGACAACACAACCAAATTGCGAGAACGCGGTCAACCCACTTATCTACTCCTTTATATAGACAGATATCAATCTTAGCCATTCATATTTTGCTTACCTTTCCTCCTCTGATTGTAATAATACTCGATACATGGCAATCTCCTCATCCAACTGCACCTTTACCCCAGCCAGATCGGCGTAAGCACGCGCCCCTTCATCGATGCGGCTGGATAAAAGCTCACATTCCAGCCGCCAGCTATCGGCTGACGCTTCGGCTTTCTGGCAGCGGCGCTCCGCCTCTTTCCTAGCCTGCAGAGAGTTGGCCAGAGTCACTTCAAACTCAGCTATTTGGCCGCGCAAAATAGCCGTATTCTCAGACAACCGCGACAATTTCTCTTGGGACTCGTTTACTTTATCAGCAAACAAATTCGCGCAATTGGAGACAGAATCTAGTTGGCGCTAGAAATTGGATAAAGGCAACAAAAAATATGCTCTTTAATACAAGATTGGTTACATAAAAGCCACTAACAGATAAAATTTAGACTAGTCAAAAACGGCAGCTAAATAAAAGTGAAAAAAGCGGGAAGTGAGAAAAGTACAATAGAATTTATCTAACTTTTACTAAAAAACCCAAACTTTGGGATAGAAGCACTGCCTATCCAAACAAAGTTCATAAAATACTTTCTTTGATATTAAACCAAGTAACACCAGGATTTGTTTGAGAACAAAGTGTACAATATTAATTACAATACTTAAGACAAAGAGCAGTGGAAACGTAAGGACCTTAGAAAAGCCATAAATTCTAGATTCAAGCGTTGCCTTCAAGTGTGTAAGAAGCGGAAAAGTGGAGTGTAGAAATGAAAAATGTATACTCCTTCAGCGAGATTCTAGGCATATGGCTTGCTTAATATTCAAAATTCCACAATAGGAGTTGCGAGGCATCCAAGGTAAGTATCAAGTGGCCGGCTGTCATGGAATTCTTGATAGAGAACGCAAAACTAGGAACATTCCCATTGGGAATCTACTAAGTCCACACTCCGACGAAGGAGATTATTTGGAATACTATGGAAGAGGAATTCTAACAGGAATTCATCTAGGCCTCTGGTAATAAAACAGTTGGGAAAAGGAAGTCAAATCACTTCTATACTAAGAAAAGAGATCGCGATTATAGTAAAAGTCACACCATTTTGATGTGGCTGAAGAGTTCCTGAGGAAATCAACAGGATAGCCATTTATAATATAAATTCGATTGAAATTCGATGCTGCATACATATGTTCCAGATAGAATCTGCCTGATTTTCAGTCTCATTTAGTATCACCCCAAACATGCAAAATAGTTGGAATTTTGTTTTTTAAACAAATTTTATGTGACTAAATATGCACCAAGATACAGTAGAGAAAATGCAATTAATATAGTGATAACGATTATTTGTGAGTGCAATAATTTTGCAGAGTGTAGAGATAAAATCATCTGGAGGTAGTTTTGAATAGTCTTTCACAAGTAGTGAATATGGTCACCCATTGAAATAAAATTCCTTTTCAATAAAACCCAAATTACGAAGGAAGCGGTTAGCAGATAGACGCAGTTGCTTATACTCTACTCTTTTTACTTTAGTATTGACTTTATAATAATCCTTGAATATAATCTTCTTCCGTCTCATTCCTTTGTGACCCTTGATAAATGGGAATATAAGGATGTATGGTATGGCATTGCGATATTAAAAAAAATAAATTCAAGTTTAAATCTGGCACGAGCAGCTCCAAAAAAATCATTGGAAGCAAAAGCTTTAGTAATTTGCTAGAAAACTTGTCATACAAATTCTCTTGAATGAGTGAATTCGAGCATGTCAGTTGGGAATCAGTTCAAAATCAGCCTCTAATGAAATAAAGGT